CTTCATGCAAGCTGTCCACTAGCAGTTTTACTATCCATGCTACGGCGTCCGCGGAAACCGACGCGTTCTGCAATCCTTGTCCAGTAGTGCGGGAGCATCGTAAGCAAGTTGGACTATTCAATTGGCAACGGGCTCTTGGTACTGGATGCTGGAGTGTGCGAACACTTCTGGAACCTGGTACTCGAAGTCTGACGGCGCGCAATCTGCATCAGTACCACATGGATGTTGCCTGCCTTCCGAAGTCAGAATCCCCGATTCAGGCTCCCAAAAAATCCCGGGAGTCAAGCTCCACCTCATTCTGTATTATAGTGACCCATGTGACTCATCTGGTAGACACGGTGTGGCCATTGCTCCCTCGAATCAAGCAAACCATGCACTACTGGCATGGGAATCAGTCAATGACCGGATGGCTTACGTTTAACTAAGGGTCACTTTACGAACATATTTGTCGTCTCTCTGCATGCACCAACATCAGCTTCCGAACAGCAAGAAAAAGAGAACTTACTCGCAGCTACAGGAGCTAGTTGAAAGACTTCCTCGTCGTGATCTGTTGATTGTTGTCGGGGCCTGGAATGGCCGGACTGGGCACGGTGACTCGTCAAACGGTCACCTTATTGGTCGTTTGGGCTTGACTTTCGATCCGACAATGGTGAGGGGATGCTTCATTTTGCTGATCCGAACCGACTGTTTATCACCAACACATACTTTGAGCATCGTCATTAAAATCTACTGACCTGGTATTCAGTAGATCGATTACATTCTAGTCGGTTCAAGATCTCGCAGTTGGGTCCACGATAGCAGGACGATTCGAGATTCCGAAAGAGGTAACGCCCACGGGTCTGACCATGTTCTCGGTCGCACACGCTTGAAAATGCTCCTCTCATCTGCGCCCAAAGTGCTACGAGCGAGACGCCTTGATGTCTCAAAACTCCGACAACCCAGCACTACCGAGACCCTAAGCACAGAAATCCGGTCCCGTCTTATGACCCAAGCCGGCTGCAGACGTGCGTCTATGGGACAGCTGAGAAAACTATTGGGTTCATTCGGGGCGCCGCAGTGGCTGAATCAGTAGAAGAACCCTGCAGCTCTCTGCCTACATGGCTCGAGCCAGGTCCCGCAACAATGCTTTCTTCCGCCAACTCAGAAAGCTGACAAAAAATCGGCTAGGAATGACTGGCAGAAGTGTTGGTCCGAAAGAGCAACTTCTATGGAACAGGCCTCAAATGTTGGCGACACTCGAAAACTCCACCAAAATTGCCCGCTAGGTTATTTGTAAGCCCTCGACACTCTGTGACTCTGTTCGCGATGTGGAGGTCGATCGCTGGCATGAACATTTCGAGCAGCTCTTTAACTTTGATGAACAACCCATCGCACCCTCCCTCTCCTCCACAGCGGAGTTTCACCCCTCTCAAACTCATGCAATTTCGTGCGACCTTCCTTCCGAAGATGAAGTTGTCGATACAGTGCGGAGGCTGTGCAATAACGAGGCGTCCGGAGAGGAGGGTATTCCCGCTGAAACCTACTAGTCTTGTGCCGAAAATCCTGTTCCTTGGCTTTATAACGTGATTGGACAAGCGTGGAAAGACTAGGCCGTTCTTGATGATTGGAGCTCAGGCATTCTTGTACCTATCTACAAGAAAGGAGATAAGACAATATGTAAGAACTACCGTGGTATAAGTATTAACGACTTTTCTGCAAATATGTTCGCTGTTGTTTTTCCCGGACGATTCCAGTCAGTGCATGACGCTGAGACGCGGCCAAATCAAGCCGGATTCCGCGCTGGGCGTGGATGTGCGGACCAGATATACAAACTGAGACGGATTCTTGTATTCCGCCATAGCTACCAACAACTAACGGTCGTCTGCTTTGTTGACTTTGCCGCTGCGTTCGACTCCATTCATCGTGAATCCCTATAGTAGATAATATCACTAGATGATGTACCCAAAAAAATCATTGCCATGATCAAGGCATACTACCGTCCCACCACTGCGCAGGTTCTGGTCCACAACAATCCTTTGGAATCGTTCGCCATTCGGTCTGGCATTTATCTAGGCTGTATCCTGTCACCCATTCTATTCAACTACGTTATTAACTGGATTCTTCGGAAGAGCCTACGTGGTGAGGACGGTGTTGAGCCGGCACCCGGACGCCGGCTGAGTGATCTCGACTACGCCGATGATATCGCTCTACTAGCCTCGAGCTTTGATGATGTACAGTCTGTAGTATCATGGGGAAATGAGATCGATATGTCGATTGGCCTGTCCAAGTTATTCTCGAGCTGCATCCCCGACCAGGTAAAGGCACCCCTGGGGATTACTGGTCGTCAGCTTAAAGAAGTAGACAGCTTTAAATACCTCGGTGCAAGGCTGCTACCGAATGGAAAGAGTAAAGACGACACTGTCTCCTGAATCGATGCTGCTCGCCGTGTTTTCTTAATCCTCCAAAATCACCCATGGATTCAACGCGACATCTTCATCGTCACGAAGATCCCTGTTCATCCCTGTTCATCCATCCAGTCAGTCCGCACTCGCTGCTACAGTATCGTGAGCATATTTCACGCCATCCAAGAAAAACGACTAATGTGGTTTGGGCACGTTCTCCATCGTTCGCCTCATGAGTTTTTTATGCTGCCCTAGATCTGGCTCCGCAGCCCATATGAAGGTGTCGAAGAGGTCGGCAACTCAAGACGTTGCTCGCAACCGTTCGTCAGGACATAGAAGTGGTTCTTGGACCTTCGATTTTCGGCCTTCGTTAATGGAGAAGAGAATGGGTGGAGCTTTCCAGATCCGCTGCCACCAATCGTCATGCGTGGAGAGGTACCGCCCATGGCATCATTAAAGCCGGCTAGATCAGGCATGATCACAGCCGTATCAAATAAAAGTAAGTTCGTAACCAAATGTTGTGCCTGAAAATATCCATCTGGATCAGCCAACCTAACATTGGTGAACATTTTTAGGATAATTTCCCGTAAAGCTTGTGTGAATAAGTGACTGAGACCTGCGAGCCAAGTGTAACTATTTCGAATGGACGAAAAGGAATTGCCTGTCGGTTTCTACAAGACCTAAGGGTTGGAGTGTTTTGATTTCAGTTGCTCTCCTCGTGTTTTCTGTTTCCATCTCGACGCACTCAACATTGGTTATTTTTGTCATTCGCTTCCACTAACAGATGCAAATAGACCACCCATAGTCAAACCCTTTCAGGTACCAGCTGGCCATCCCTACGAAGCACTGTGTCTAGAAACCAGACTCCCTTTAGTCCATTTGCCTCTTCCTTCGAGGTGAAACTTTTGAAAGTGTCTAACAAATAAATCAGTTCATGCTT